TTGCAAGGTATATATATATATATATATATATACCTAGACAATAGGCCACTTAAGTAACTAAAGCTTTGGAACTGGGAGCTCCCTTTGTTTTGTAGCACTTCCGTCAGTTGAAACTTGAAAGTAATTATGGTGCTAATGAGCATGTTATCCATGTCCGTCCAAGTGTTACAGCCTACGTGCCGTGGTGGACCCTAGGGCTGATTATTTCAGGGATAATGTACTAGAATTCTCAACACATGTTCAGAATAAGAACGACCTTATCGAATTATATTCATGAATTTGGAAATTACTAACTTAGATGAGTTCTTATTATCAAAAGATAAAGTTTAATGTTTTCATATTTCGAGAAATAAGATTATTCTAATCAAGAATACTTATAAGTTAAAAGACTAATCGTATGATCCTCACGATTCTGCACTAGTAAGTGATGAAATCATAACTGCAGATGTTGACGTGGGTTAGCTTAAATCGAACGAATGGGTTGGAAAATCATACATGCATGCCGTCTTGGACATTTGCGGTGCACGACTCTAAGAGGCGGTCGATAATAATTAAGCGGTGAACGAGAATACGACATAATAGTTTGGAAAATTCAATGCCTAGATTATAGCAAATGTATGGCGATTAACCAAATATACGCATGTTACTCATTCACGAGACAAGTACTTGGCCAACTTATGCATGAATTCACTCATTTTTCGGAATTTCTCGCAAAGTATTATAAACTCAAACGCAACTTCTTCTAATATCCAAGTAGTCCATCTTTTTAAAGAGAAACCGGGGCGTGCGACTGATCTTGCATTAGGGCATCTGCTAAAATGTTCCCCCAAGAAGGAAAGAACACAGCTAAATATTGCGGTACTAAACCCGAGAAAGAGGGAGACTTTTTAAAGGGTGGTTCGATACTCGATGCATATTTATGTCGTACGTAAAATCCCTTTTCTTAATTAATCAAATCTAGGTTGTACTGTGCGTGAACAGTTGGTCTCAACTGCTTCAACTCGTGGGACAAAAGTGAGGGGCATGATTGCTTTAACTTTCCAGGTTCCACTCATATAAAAAGCAGGAGAGCAGTCAAAAAAGCGGACCGCATGTGACAAATCGTGCGTTCCTCATCTGATGATCACATGTCTGGATTGATTCTTCTTCTTTGAGATTTGGTTCCTGTTTGAGATTAGGAAGTCTCGAATATGCAAAACACAATACGGTCCGAACTCGGTGTAATTAGAAAGGTGAAACTGTGTACTTGGTCTGCTGCTCGTTCCAGAATCTGCAGGTCCGATGTATGATAGCAGGTATAAGTGGCCGGTGAAAATGATGTCGCTGACCATCGTGCCGGATGGGCTCCGGTAGACACGAAGTGGGCTAACGTTGGATTGGCCCCATGCGTACGTTGTCTCCCCAATGTCTGTATTTCTGTCTGGTGGAGCACATCATACACAATACCAACATGTACTTTGCACAGGGGCTCCATTTTGCCCAGCGATGTCGGGACAATCTGGTTTTCTCTGCCTCGTTGTCCTCTTTACCTGATCTGATATGATCTATGTGAAGCAGATGGGCATGGACCGATTGCTGCTGGGGACGTAGTTGCCGAAACGCGCTTATAGAATGGTCGGTTTGGTAGATTTCGAATAGGGGGACTTGTGGCACGGAATCAAACACCGCAAGTCTAGCCATCTGTGGGCCTGCAACGAGTCATCCTCAAAAAACTTGTTCTAGACCCTAATACAGGACCCGTGTGGCGGACTTTCGACCTCGAGATCAATTGTTTTCTTATTTAACAATGTTATTTTAGTCCACTTCAACTCAATTTGATGGCAGCCATTTTGTAACTGCAGTTAACGTACAGAAAGAAAATCGGAAATGATTATCTTGTTATTTGATCATATTCACGGTCCGATAGGGATGCGAATGACAACCATTCTGTTTCAGAAATCAATTTCTGGTCAGAAATAGATTTTTTTATTTCTATTACATGGATGAGTTTTTGAGAAAAATACTCGTTTGATAATGACATAAAATTTCTGTTCTCGAAACAAAAATTTATTTGATAACGGCACAAAATTTCTCCCTCCCGAGCGGGCAGTCAGCGAGGGGACGGCGGACGACGAATGGCGGTGGGAGGAGGGCGGTGGGCGGGAGGTGGGCAGCGAACAGCGGGTAGGAGATGGCGGCCGGCGGGCAGCTACAGGAGGCGGGTGGTAACCAGTGGCGGGAGACGGTGGTCGGCGGACGACGAAGCGGCTATGGGAGGTGAGCGGCGGCCCACGGCGGCCGGCCGGCGGAATAGGCCGGCAGGCTGTATAGGGCGGCGACGAGACGGCCGAGGCGCGGGCGGCGGGTGGGTCGCGGTGGGGCGGCGGCGGGCGGCGGGTGGATAACCGGTTAGTAGCAAAGGCGAGCGATGAGAATAATTTTTATTTCTCATTTTTGTTCCAGAAATAGAAAATTAGAAAATTTTTACTTTTCATTTCTGTTTCGAACCTATTTTTGAAATCAAAATTTGTTCCAGAAATAGAAAAATAAAATTGCGTTACCAAATGAATTTTTGTTCTAAACCTATTTCAGAAATAGAGAAACATGATGGTTATCATTCGCAGCCTAGGTGTATAAAATAGCTTACTTCATACCTAACAATATTGATGAGTAGTCACAGTCTCATCCTAGAGGAACCCTGGACTTTGCATTTGGACGTCTATCATTGATTCTTCTAATAGGCTCGTACAAATCCAAGCGGACGCACCACTCACTTACACCCACAAAGTCCAAGCTAGTAAGAAAGGCAAGAACTTTGGTTTCATCTGAAAATTGTTTGGTTTTATAACGCGTTTCTGTGCAATAATGCATATTGACAGACGATGAAAACGGTTTCGTTCACGCTTGATTTTGGAGATGCTAAAGGTGCAGAGCTTGCTCGTCGTCTTCTGTGGAAGCATGATTCGATTGAAATCGACCTCAAATTCAATGGATAGAGTGCATAACAATAATAACTCGACATAGACGTGCGCATCAGCTCAAATGTTATCCATGACTGGTATTGCCAAAAGGGAATGAAATTAATTCCTACATCGCTACGGGGCATGTTGGGGTGTGGGTCAGTTCAGTTTTGTGTGGATTTTACTCCGCAACCTCCCAAACAACGGCATGGGACAACTTCGCCATTTTGAAGAGAGTCCATGCATTGAAAAAGATGGCATCATGATTATCCCAAAGCATTATATTTAAGATTTTGTTAAAAAGCCGTCTTAATCATACTCGTTAAGCAATCTATAAAAGAAAATTTGTAGTTTTCAATGCAATATCTATCGTCGTGTCATGTATAGCCAATATCTTGAAAATTGAACTACTCACCGTATTATATGGTTGACATCCTTTAAATTCAATAGATTTTGCTTAGCATTTTAGTAGTTCAAGGCCAATATGAAAATTGTGGGCTGTAAAAAAAAAAGAATGTATGCCGGTGGATGCCTATGGTATCGAATCTCCATGTCGCTGAACACAAACAAATCTCATATTTGAATCAATATCTTGCATATGGGCTTGCATCCTTCCCTGATATATCGAACCCTAAGTAGACGGACATCAGTTGAAGTCTCTCGTTACTTATTTTAGTTTCACTAACTCCGTACAGACTGCTCTAAGTTCATCTTACAGGCCAATGGTTTCAATCGGTTAGTGGGACTTCATGGGTGTTTCACATGCTTTCAAATAACCCGGTCTCCAAATTTGTGTATCTGAATTATTAGGAAAAGATAAAGGGGATTCAGAATCGAACCTTCGATCGATCTTGGAGCAAACCGCATTCTCGATGGTATGAACCGATTAAATAGTAGGGTTCTCCAAGATAGTATGGAGGGGCTCACGGTGCATGGCCACATGCAAAATGGAAAGAACATGTCGCGAAACATTCATCTTTCGGCCAAAGGACAAACAACCCGAGACGCCTTCTTTCCTTTCCTTCCTTTCATTTTTGGGGGGGCCAATCGTGCCTCTATCTTAAATTGACCTTTCAGAGCCTTCTAAGTCTCTGGGCAAAGACTAGGACCTTTCCACTCAGACATCAACTCTTATCCAACCTTTGTTTGATGTCGTTGTTTCTTGTGACCGCTGTCCGATTTTGGGAGGTGTTTTCGCCTTGAGAAGTCCCAAAGGTCGCAATTTTCGCGGGTTTGTTCCTGAGCTTGGAGATTTGGAATTTGCGGTTGTCGCTGAAGGCCCTGTGAAGAAACACCGATGCTACGAGGCGTAGGCTTTGCATTAAGATGATGCTCCTCGTCCCATGTGCAGTTTCCATCTTCTGGAAGCACATAACGTGAGCCTGTTTTCCATCTTTTGTCGCCACATAAAAAATCAGAAGCAAATGAGATTTCAAGGTTTTAGAGTCATATAGTATGTCTGCATATCAATATCTTTATCTCGTCTTATCTTATTACCCCATCGCAGTTGTCGTTCGACAAATTTAAATTTTGACATTTTTCTTGTGTTATCGACGCTTGTTCAATTAAACATGACAATCGGTCAGCAGTGAGTTTAAGTCTAGACAAGCATCTAAAACCGAGCTCGTGGAATCAGAATTTTGATGCCCATTACTGGAGATTCACCCCTTGAGCATCACCCCAAAGCGCATTATGACGCAACTTACAAATTTGGCCAAATGGTTGCCTAGTTCCAACGAGGATAGTGCATACACCACAAGAAGTTTCTCAAGAGTTTTGGGTTTGGACTTTTGAGAGCTAAAGAGGCCAGACTCAAAGAATGGAAACAGCAGATTCACACCCAAAGGGAATTTCAATTGGACTGAACATAACATTGACTGCAAAGAATAATCAATCCATTAGTTTATTTTTTTGCATGTTACAATGCATTCAGATGTCATGACGCATGTAAATTGATCTTCAGTGCATCTATCGGTTTAGATTGAAGATGCATCATCCTTCATAACATAATAGTATCATCACCCACAATCCAGTCCACTGCAACATAAAAGTCTCATCTCATTCTTAGAAATCGGCACCTCCACGCAACCTTGATTTCTTTGTAAGAAAAGTACAGCAGCGAATAGAACTTTCCCAAATCCGCATCCATAAAATACAACTCAATGTCAACTGAAAGGAAAACATTCCTGCTTGGATACCTAAGTTTTACATTTCTAAAGATTCTGGGTAGCATATTAACCTTTTCTTTATAATAATCCAAGGGCATGGGCATGCTATCCTGGTTACCTGGAGACCCGTGGAACACATTTATGAAAGGAGACACCTATATATGATGAAAGTGCCCTTTCTTTGACTAATGGCACACACTTGAGCTTCCTTGTGCTACTCAAGTCACTTGCAAATTTTCACCTCCTTTTCCATCAAAATGTGCACTATTCCAGCACACAAGCATCTCCAATACCAATGAGGATGGGAGAGAGTAATATAAAAAATGCCTTGTTTTCGATTATGTTAATCAAACTTTCAGGACTCAAATTGCTTGCCTTCAAAAGTCTGTCCAAAGTTCCAATTTTTAGGAGCAACATTGTAAGATGTCACCGTAAGCCCGTCGCTAGAGCTCACCTCAAAGGACAGGGGCTGGTTCTTAAGATCCACATTAATGTGCCAATTCTGACCCCAATTCCTACCCATTGGAAGCCATCCAGTTTTCGTGCCTTTAATTTTTATTGCAGCTATATCTCCAGCACCAGCCACATTGCTGATCAAGACTGAGATGAAGATACCCGAGCCATCAATTGTAAAACGAATCCCTCCCTCCTTTCTGCATTTGATCCTGCATAGTGACAAAGAAGAGAATGAACAATATCTCTTTCAAGAGTCCGGAAGTTAAGTGAATTTGCATTGCAGAAGTATCTCTACAGCATATTGCTGTAGCCCTCCTAATGCCTAGGCTAGTGGCATTTCTCTGGTCAGTCAGATAGTGAAGAATTGACAAAACATTTGTAATACCAGGGTTCAATTTCCCAGTAAGTAGGTAAAGGAAGCATATTCCAGGCGCAAAAAATTTTAACCATGAGCAGCATTATCAATCGAAGCTCTGGAAGAACCATATAAATGAATCTAAATAAAGGCAGAGTGCCCTAGAATTGGAGATCACATGTCCAAAAAGGAAAGCACGTCTCATTCTGAGGCATTACCAGATTAAGTTGCTTGTGTTGAGCAATGAATTGAAGAGATCAAACAACTAGAAAACTATAAATGGAGACTTATTGAGTTGTTGGATGTTGTGGCATTTTATTCTTTTAGAGGACTTCTGTAACTCTGCAGCACTCAATTTGCAGAGCTCATTACAGATAAATGGTATATCCTTATGCCATTAGACAGATAGGATGAACAGAAAGAAGCAATATCCAAAAACTTGATAATAAAGTTCCCAGATTGATAGCTCGAAACAAGCCAGAGTTCTCATGAGAACTGTTCTGTGGATATTAAAACAGAACAGGTACATAGTGAAATTATGGATCAAGCACATTTTCAGAGAAGCAAATTATTGAAAATGCAGATTGATGTTTGGAAACTATGAGACAAAATGAATTGAAGCCCCATTTAGTTCTTGAAAAATTCCCATTCGCAAAAATGAAACAGTTATAAAATTTTCAGGTTCTGTTTGCTTAATAATGTGTTGGTACATGAAAACTTTCTTCAGGAATTAAAAATTGTTATGATGTATTTGGTATGCCTTTTTAATAAATGCTTATATACTATTAATTGCCTTGATCGAAAGCTTCAATTTCCCTACACTTTCTAATCTTACTAATAAAAGCATTACATATATTAATTATTTCAAGGACTAGATTGAATATAGAAAGAGCATCTTCAAATTAATTGTGTTTTTTATGCCACTTTGTTATTTCATGTACTAATCGCTTAGTGTCTATTTTTGTATTTGACAATTCTTATAGCATTTTACATTGAGGGCGCAAGCTTTAAGGAAGAGGAAAATTTCCTTGAAGCTTCTGGGAGCTGAAGACAAAGTTTCAGCCTTCAGAAAGGAAGTTCCCTTCAAGCTTTGTTTCTGAAGTCTCCACAGAGGGAGGGAGGGAGGGAGAGAGCGAGTGCTAATCGTCAAGAGTGTCTTCTTTGGTCGCTTATTAATTATCAACTAACAGATCATGACGATTAATTTGGAGAACAAATGCAAAAGACAGATGTAAACATGTATTGTGAGGAGCGAGTTAGCAACATGTTTCGCTAACATCGTATGTTTTCAAATGGATAGAAAACACTTAACTTTCGGCCTAAGCATAACTTTAGAAAACAGTGTCCTCGCATTTTAAATGCAGTCTGCTTCCAAATTCAACCAAACACCACCCCTTGATGTGTTTTCTTTTCAAGCAAGAATGAAAACAACTATTTGGAGACTTTTCACACGCCAAACAGGCTGGGAACTCTCTCCAACCAACATACTACCTATTTTCATTGTGGAAATTCTGAAAAACAATCACAAACCGAACTCTCTAACCAGTGACGTAAGCAGGCAGAGAATAGAGGAAAAAAATTCTTTGCATCCAAAAACGGATCCTTTCAGTCAGTTATTCCATTAAACTACTTGGGTGATGAGAGCATTTCAATTTTCTGGTTTTCTGAAAGGAGGTATTATCACATAGACTACCAATAGAAAAGACATTTTCCAAAATAGATTTGTTTACTTTCTATTAATTAACTACTCATCCTTCCATAAACAAGGACTTCTTCAACAATTAATTTTTCCCAAAAAGACTGCTTTTTCTATTTAATTATGCATACAATAGCCACATTTTTAGAGCACTAGAGAATAACAAAAGGATGTTTTCACAAGTTATCTATCAGCATGAGATGTAAATTCCAATTTCTTGACAAACTTGCATGTCTAAACAAAATAAAATATAACGTCCATGAAAATGGAAAAACTATGGAAACATCAGATAAAATTTCAGCAAAAAGAGAATTAAATGGCTTTTTCAGACAAATGCATTCTTGGCTTCCAGTTCCCAAAAAAGCAAGTTTAATCCAAAGCAACCCTCTAGTTCCATCTAAGCCACTCACTATACATTAAAGATTCCAAGCGAAAAGTAGATATTAGATGGAACTGGAACAAGTAGAAATACATAATGTCATTAAGAACCCCCTACCATTGAAACATGAGACTTACGAAGATGGTAGAAGCTGACCTGAATGGTCCAACCTCATTCATAGGAATTACCTTTTAGCAGCAAATTGGTCGATGATGTTGCCATTTGAACTTAATCTAATCGCCAAAAAGATAAACCAGAGGGTCCTCTAGACTAACCTATTGTAACCAATATTTGGTCCTGACGAAGATGAACATCCGAGTAGAAGGGCACTTCTATAATCCAACTCCAACCCACCGTTAGTTACAGAATAGCATTAAATTAGCTAGAAACACACTTCCTAATTAACCCAAGATCGCCCTCGTCTAATTAAGTTTCCTCTCCTTTTCTTTCCCCTGAAAAAATATACGCCTCGCTATCAACTCACTACAGGCAGGATAGGGACCTCTCAGATATGCCAAAAGTTGGCCCATTTCGCAGGTTTACACCAAACAAAATCAAGAAAGATGACAAGAATACAGGAAAGAAAAGATGCGGTAATAATAACACCATTTGCAGGAGTAGCAGAGTCTCTAATCGCGGACGAAACAAATTTAGGAACTAAGCAAGCACGATTTCTGTTTTTCGTTTAGCTCTGTGTTCTCCTGAAGCAGACAGACTAATTAAGTGAAAATCAAGAACAAAAGTCCAGGCGTCGTACATCGTGCAAGCACAGATATGAAAGCGTCTTCTTTATTAGATTATTATTACCAATCTAGGACTACAAGGTCGATCCAAACGTAACAAGACCATTGAAATGTTTTCTCAAAGAAATAGGTTGTCGGACCAAGGCTTACCTGCGATACTGGACTGGCATGTTACCGGCCTTCCAGATGGCGATCTTCTCGAACGCCTCTATCGGGAGCACGAAATGCTTGTTCGGGGGGTTGCAGTGGCCGCCCCCGTCGGCGGCGAACCCGTAGTTCGGCGCGCAGAAGTTGGTGGCGGTGACGATCAGCGACGTCCCCGGGATGCACCACCGGAGGTCCTCGACGCACCGGAGCTCGAAGCACGCGCCGCAGATCTGGCCGCGCTCGAACAGGGGCTCGCTGAGCCCCGCGGTGGCCATCCCGTACCCGGCCCGCGCGAGGTCGCCGTAGCCGCACGCGCCGCCGACGGCGTCCCGGGGGTCGGCCGCGGCGTAGTAGGTGGCCCGGGCGGACCGCCACTCGGAGAGGGAGGAGGAGGAATGGGAGGGCGAGGAAGAGGACGACGACGACGACGCGGTGGGGGTGTGGGACGCGGATGGGGACGCGAGGGCGAGGAAGAGCGCTAGGGTTTGGAGGATTAGAGCCGAAGGCGACATTGCTGGAGAGAGAGACAAGCAGAGAGACAACTACGGGGAAGCTTTTGATTTGATCCTAGGTTGATGTCTTCTTTAGCTTGTCGGACTCCATGGATGGACTTGCGTGCTCAGTGCTCGGGCTCACAGCTCACTGCTATGAGTGCCTCCGCTTTGCTTTTTTCGTTGCTTTCCCATTGAAAGTGAAAGCGCTTACTTCTTTTTCCAAAATTCGGGAAAGTTCTTCTCATTTCGCCCCTCAAGTTTGGCTCAATTCCATTTTTTGTCCCCTCCATTTTCAATTCATTTTCGATTTAGCCCAGAACAGCAGACAGCCCGCACGGACCTCGGATCTGTCCAGAGTAATCTTCTCATTTCTCTATCTAAATTCCCTTCCGATCGAGCCGGCGTCCGCGTTTTCCGGCTAAAATAAAATTTTGCTTCGATTACATGAGAGATGTTCTTATATGGGTCGAGGCGTCCTCGCCCGATCGACCGCACTCTGAGCGATTTTGGGGGCGAATGTGGAGGCATAAGTGGAACAAAATTTCGAGGAGGTGTGGCATGAATCAAACTTGGAGCGAATCTGAAAAATTTTTCCGGGAAATTTTTGCCGAGTGATTCTTGGTTCTCTTCTTCTTCTTTTCATGAAAGCTTTCTTTCTAACTTCTTTTGCAAGATGGGATGTCAGGATTCAATTGGGCTTGGACATCATTCGGTGTTAAGTTCTTGCCGGGCCCCGAAAATGAAAACAGACCAGATTTTCAAAGTAACTCCTGAATTTTGTCATTTCCGGGGCACCAGCACCACCTCTCCCTTCCCGAGTCTAAGTAGAAAGATGAAGAAATCACAAGAAAACTGCGAGACTTCTTCATTCGATTTATTGGTCCTCCTCTTATACAATTTATCTTTTTGCAGAAACAAGCACCACTAACTTGGGTAATCAAAAAGGAAGCAACTAGACATGAGGCAAATTAGGGAATACAGGGCATTTATAAGGAACCTACATATTTTAAACAGATTGGGGGGTGAAACAAAAGGCAAGGACAACAGACCAACAGATGCGATTCGAAGGCCCTGAAGAGCGCGCTGCGACGAGGACGCGGCACTACAAGCTAAGGCGTACTCTTCGTACTTCCCTTTCTTGGCCGATCGCCCCTGAGGGCTGCATCTCCTTTTCTGCAATACACCTTTTATAAGGCATGAATCCTCTTCCTTGTCTCTCTTGCCTTGTCATTAGTTCAGGGGCCGCTGACGTGTTGCTCGGTTTCGAAAGGAAACCGAGCTTTAGGTCAAAGCCACTATGGAACTCATTGGAAGTTACGCCATTCCCGGATTCCAAAATCCCATTTTTGTTGATGTCTGCGCAAGTAGATAGCTGAGCCACTTTATTGAGAAACGGCGAGAGAGAGATTGCCAAATTGCCATAAAGATTCAACCAAGGCGCTGAAGGAGCAGGACCAGCTTCCGTGTGATCGGTGGTTGTGTCCCGTGGCTGCACTAAGTGAAGTACCCGATTTGTTTTCACAGACGATGTCGCGGATACAGTATCCTGAGAAAGAGGATCTTGAAGTTTCATTTCTTTCAATTCCGACTTGACCGCCGAAGAAGATTGCCAATGCGAATCTGTTACAGATACAGTCATGCCAAACAGTTTGAGGGTTCGGGAAGGCGCTTCCTCCACGGCACCTCCTGAGGTCTCACATCCCCTAGCATACAGCTCGAGTTTCTACAGTCCCAGAAACATGCCATAAGATAAAGAGTCTAAAAATGACACGCTGACCGCAAGGCTAATTAGCTCTATGTTTAGCATACCTCACTAGTGATTGGACCATTCTCCTTAGCTGACGGTTCAAAGAGTGACAGACTAGCACGGCAGGCCGCATCGCCTGAGGAAATCGGTGACAAGCTGCCACTGGGTGTGCTTGCACCAGAGGAACCCAAACCATCTGAGCCTAAAGTGGATAACACAGACATGGGCGATTGGTTCTCGAGTTCGGAGACGGAGAAATTCGGAGATCCAGACCTAATTGGCTGCTCCTGAGGCAAGCATTCTGTGTTGATCGGGTGAACCAAAAGCTTACGAGGGTAAGGATGCATCGGCTTTCGTTTTGGGCGCGGAGGAGGAATCTCGATGGGTTCCACCTTGCTATCGGTCGAGTCTTTACCGACCTGAGACACAGTGAAACAAGCAGAATTAGGACAGGATCGAGAATAGCAAAAACCATCCCTTCTATGACCATTTGAACACCTCAGGTCATAAAAGATCAGACTTACTTCAGTCAATGGGACACAGTTATTTTGGTAGAGAATGGGTACTGGAATAAGAGCAGTAAACCTTTGAGAAAAATTTCTGAGCATGGCTCCGAATTTGAACAGCAGTCTTGGTGCCCACATGTTCTGAACAGAAATGAAAATATTTATCTAGTGAACGAGAGAAACCAAAGAAATTAACAGTGAGAAGATAATTGTTCCCGTTGATTACCTTCTATTCGACGCCATGCTCGACCGTACAATTTAAGAGCTTCAAGGAACCTTTTGTGCTCTTCCTCTGTCCATCTCTCTCTCTGCTTCGTGATGGTGTAAGGTTTTCTTACCTATCGATATCAAAGTGATGAGCAAATCGGATTGAACAGGGAAAAAAAATTGTAGCAAAAGAACCTAAAGATTGTCACAGGAGAAGAGGGATAGTAGACCTTGGGAGCATAGTCATTTGCGCAAGAAAACTGCTCCTTTAGCGAGATACTGGTTATCGAGTGGAGGCTATCACTCAATGACATTTCGTTGCTTCCTACAATCATATTGCTCGAATGAGCACTGCCACCTTGATCCTACATTAATAGCGATAAAGGTTAATGAACCCTGCAGCAAAATCATGAAAATCTGAAACTTAAAATAGAGGAAGAGATCTTGCATTAAACAGATCAATCTCTACATTCACCATATCTTCTTCCCCAACGAGTGATGAATCTTTTATTTCAATGAGCACCAGCGAGTGATGAATCTTTTTAGCGCATCACCAGCAGTGTTACGAAGAATCAGACTTGCTATATTTGGATGACACTCAAAGCACATGGATTGACCTTTAAGCGGAAATGTATCCATACGCCATAGAAACCCAATCAATTGAATACCTTTACCAGTGAATTTGGCAACAGGGGAAACTTATCAATACAAAATGTATCTTCCAACCATAGCAGATTGGCCGTGTCCCTCAAAAAGCCAAAAGATTTTTACTGCACTGCAACGGAATGCACATTTTGTAGCCACCTCCATTTAAATCCCTCTCCCCCCAAAAAAAAAAAAAGAATCAGCAAAATCTTCTTGCACATCTCTGGCTACCAGAAATTTAGAAAAGAAAAATTGTCCAAAAATTGGTCTGAAAAAATTGAGTTTCCTCGACTGTTTCGTGGATTTCTCTATAGTCCTGTGAATATAAAAGATTCTTACAAGACTATACTTTCCCTCATGAAAAATGGGTGCATGACAAAAACCATAATTCAAAAGAATTGTCAATTCCCCAAGAAACGCTGAAACTTTCAGCCACGAAACTCGTTCGATGGTCATGCCCCATTGCAGAACACAGAGATAGATCAGCTTCAAAAGTTAGATCTACTGTCTCGACGGATTTAGTGAAAAGGATTGTCGCTCTCTTCAAAAAACAAAAGTTCCGAGTTTTTTTTTCTTTCTTGAAAAGAACAAACGTGAGAAATTGTACATCTCTTGGGAAAATCAACTGACTCGAGGAGGAACAAGAAAGCACGAAGAATTCAAAAACCAAAACCAAGTTACATGAACAAAGAACATGGCAGAAGAATCATGTCACGCTGCGAGCATCTATACCTGTACGGTCATATCGGTATCAACACACACCATGCAAGATCTCGTTTCTCCGACCCCCAACAGAGTCAAGAAGAACGCTTCTCCTCTGGACTTGCTCTGCGCTCGAATCGACCGGCTCTGTTCAACGACCGACCGATCTGGATCCCTTAAAACCGCCGCCGTCGCTCCTGTCCCGTCCGTACAGGCTCTCCTCCGGCCCAGTTCTCGAGCTCCGAACGACCGAAAAGAAAGCACCCGCTTCGAAAATGGAGAAGCGCTCAATTCACGCCTCGGTTCGGGCGAACTGTTCACACCCAGCAACATCAACTTCAGCTTTCACCCACCAAACAGAACAAAAAAAAAAGAGGAAAAAGAGAAAAACGCAAAAGGGATTGCAGCATAAAGCAAATCAACCGGTTCCAGAAGCAGGAAACGCAATCACAACTTGCGGAGCAGCTTACATGAACTGAAAGGAGCACCGATTGGGAAGAAGCACCCCGCGCGCGCGTGGAAACCGTTCGAAACCCAGGAAGAAGAGAAGCAGAGGAGGACAGCTGAAGAAGCTACTAATCAGGAAGGCGAAAGAACCCAGAAAGAGAGACAGAGAGAGAGAGAGGGACTAGAAGCGAAGAGGAGGAGGAGGAGGAGCTTGAATTGAAATACGTGCTCTTCGTGAGATCGAACTGGGATTTCTGCGAGAGATGGAGAGAAAGAAAGAGAGAGGCAGAGGGAGGGAGGGAGGGGGAGAGAGAGAGAGTCCGTGTGTTGTTTGGTTTGGTGATGATGGCCGAAAAGATAAAAAAGCAGAGGACGCCACGTCAGAGCCGGTTTTTCGCGGAAATATTTAAGTTTTGTGTTTTTTGTTTTTTTTTTTGGATTTTTTTCCTTTCTCTCGTTTTCTCGCCCAGAAATGAACCCGAGAGAAGAACGCTCCAGAAACGGGGATGGAATCTTGTGGCTCACGTCGCGGAGGGGCTCGGACACGTGGCACTCCCTCGTCTCTCTCTCTGTGTTCCGTTTTTCATTGCGCAGCGTGTTAAATTCGGTGGGGGGGGGGAAGAAAAATTAGTGAGCACATGGACGCGCCCGACTCGCCCGCCGAAGCGGGGAGTGGGCGCCACTCGCCCTCTGGAGCTGCCACGTGTGGATAAACGGGAGCGGGATTGGCACTTGTGTGGATTGCAAGAGCCCCTCGCTCTTCCCCTTGCTTTCTCTCACACATATTGTACTGTATTGCCCAATCCCTCCCTTCCCCCCCCCCCCCCCCCGGGGAAAAGGATGTTCAACGAAGTTTTTCTTTATCGCAACTTTACACTTTTAAATTTGATATGGGAATGTGAAAATTACCATCTCTTACGCGATATGTTTGGT